CGTACTGCGTATATCCATCAGCTGCATGGCCATAAGTTATACACACAGTATCTTCTAAGGATGTAAAAACAGCCAGGGTGCTTATGTAGTTTGATCCTTGAAAAGGTGTAGGTTGACAACGCGCAGATAAATTATGAGACAGTAAAACTGTAATGGTGGCGCGCACACTGATGCAGGACTTAGAGGCAGAACAGCAAGCAATCGTTTGAATGGTAAGAAGTTCAAGGCAGAGTTTGGCAACAGGTAAGAGTCAGCAAGGACAAACAAAGCAAGCAAGGGGCAGGCAGGCAGAACCGGGAACAGGCAGTGCTCAGGAACAAATGCTAGAACACTAAGACTGGGTAGTACATTAGACAGTCTGACATATGACTGGGGAAAGAGGGCTGGTATATATGCAGGAGAACCAGTGAGGGAATGGGGAACAGGTGTGCTGGTGAGTGCGGGGATCAGGTGACTGGGAATGGCAAGAACACATTGAGGGCAACTACAGGGCAGGTGGGGAATGACAGGTATCTCAACTGACAGGAGAGGTTAATAACTGGCAAATGAGGAAAATGAACAAAAATGTGCAGGAAATGACTCAGAAGAGGTAAACCTTATGAGAAATAGTGTAGAAAAAATACACAGAGAATAATACTGCAACTGCAAACCTTGACACATTTCCACCAGTTTCTTAACAATAAACCAGGTCAATTATTTTGATTGATTAACAAAGTATAGAAACACCAGACTCTATTGTCTACATTTTAATTGCCCAGACTGTACAGTAGGGTGCCCCCTGTTGAAGTATTTAGGTCCTGTGTCTTCCACACAAGTCTGTTTTGGTTTTCAGCCTCATTTACTGAACTGAACCTTTTCTTCACTGTTATTTAGCTTTTAATACAAAGACTGAAAATTCATTCATTTATTTTCGATTCACTTTTGTCTAGGTCAGATAAACCTGGAGCGTGTCCCTTGATGCTCTGGGAGGAAGGCAGGGAAACACCACTGCATTACACCAACTTTTCACATGTGAAATTTAATTAGCAAATGAGCCTTTTTTTGTCAGATTACACAATTCATTTTCAGAAAAAACGTTCCTGGATAAGAGCACACAAAAGAGTTTAACTTGAAAGGTGTCCCTATCTGAGGCATTAGCCTGGACATATAGTCACCTGTTTAGGGCTGCAACTGGCAAATATTTCCATTACCAATTAATCCTGCCGATTATTCTCTCAAATAATCAATTCATCGTTTGTTCTATAAAACGTCAGAAGGGTCAGACGTTCTGTTTTGTCCAGCCAACAGTCCAAACCTGTTCAAAAAGAAAAGCAGCAATATACAATTGAGTACCAGAGAGTGTTTGACACCTTTGCCCGGGAAAGTGATGCAACTTTTCAATGGATTATTAAAATAGTTGCAGATGATTCTGTCAATCGACTAATCAATCTATCGACTAATGTGTGTGACAGTGACAAGAAAGAACTGAATAGCAACAAACATGTTTGTGACGACATTTACAACTAAGAGCAATTTAGATAGTCCACCTGACAGGGATTTATTAGACTCACGCCATCACACACACTGTCCTCTAGGAAAACTGCTTAATTTACAAATACTTACTTCTATCTAGGGCTGCAATTAATGATTATTTTCACTGTCAATCTGCACTGCTGTTATTTGTTTAGTTTATTAAAATGTCAAAAAATAGAGGGAAATGCTCATCACAGTTTCCCATAGCCTGAAAGGGTGTTTTCAAATATCTTGTGCTGTCAACAGCTGAAAAATGTTAACAGTGAAACAAATTCACTTGTGATTCACAGTGAAATGCAGCCGCTCCTCACACTGGAAATGTGTTTTCTTGCTTGTAAAATAGCTGGACCAATAAAGTGTTACCAAAAATGTTGCTGATTAATGCAAATAAAATCAGTAAAATTTTGCAAGAATATAGGCCAATATGTTCAAACTTTGAGTGTTGAATGAATTACAAATTAAATCTATAGTAACTGGTCTTTAAAACAATGTATTCTGAATCAGAAGCAATACAAATGTTATGAAGGGGTCCATTACTTTTGAGTTTTTAAGACAAAAAGAAGCCCTGAACTTATCTCTCAGACCAAACAGGTCAGGCCGACTGTATCTATTTAATATCTCTTTTCTGTTCTGTCTCTTATTCTGTTGATTTTCCCTAACAGGGTTTCCTTGAGAACTAAATCTACTTAGGATTTATTGTTTCTTATTATTTCTCGTCATTGGAAATTATAATCCTTTCACCTAATCCCCCCTCTCCCTCCCTCTCTTTCAGATCATATTCATCAAGATCATCCCCTCTGACAAAGCAAGAAATCAGCACAGTGGGGAGGCCTAAAGAGTACGCGTACTGAAACAGGGGGTTTCTTCCTAATCAAATCAGGTTCCTCTGATGTAATCAAGACGAGACGCCAAAGACGACGACATAATCTCCCAGGGACATGCCTCCCTTGCTTGTGCGTTATTAAAAAATGAGGAGGAACAAATCTTTAGATTGAAAGACTGGAAAAATGGAATTATAATAAATCAGGGAAAACTGGGGCAAGGTTGGATAAAGCCTTCAGATACAGATGAGGGACAAATCTTCACAGTGGTTTGTGCTTGTATGTGTTTATGTGTGTGTGTGTGTGAGAGAGAGAGAGCAGGCGCGTGTTCGTGTAATGTGTTTGCATGGTTGCTTATGAAATATTTCAATTTACTCAAGATCAAGTCCCTGACCTGAGCTCTCCCTCTCTACCTCTGTGTAAAACATCAGGAGTGCCGGTCGTCCCACTAGAACTCACTCAGTGTTGTCGGATAATCTGTTTATACCTAAGGTGACTGGTGGACCTGTGATGCATCATGGAGGGGTTTTGCAATCATTTTACGGTGCACTTACAATTAACACCCACATGATGGCACAATATGACAAAAGTGGCCACCAGCTAGGACCTTTAAGACTCTCTCAATTATTCTAACCTGATCTCAGGGATAAATTAAGTACTAAACAGAGTATAATGCATAATGTAATGATACATAATGTAGTAATGCAATATTCAACTTCATTAATGTATTTAGTGAACTGATCTACAAGCACACAGCTGCCTCAACACAAAGATTGAAACAGTACTATAGAAGGCCAAGACATTCTTGGGCTCCACCACCAGATGGCCTTATTGAACTGCAGTAAAAAGTCTATGAACTATGAACTATAAGCTATTCACATGTATGTTGATTTTTTGTTTTTTACATTAACATTAACATTATTTTGGTGTGTAAAACACTCAAACACACAAAAATAGGTGAATCATTATGGACAGTGTTCTGTCTGCAAGGGCAAGACCATATTTAAAGTGTTTGTGTGCTATGGTGGCTTGGGATTCAGGACACTGACCATGAACCACAATTCAAAAACCACAGTCATCGCCTGTCCTCTCCTCATCTCTTTACTGTCCACTTTCTAATAAACCAACAGAAATAGGGATGGGAATTGAGAAGCGGTTCCAAAATGTCCAATCTATTGGTATCGTATGCCTCCAAGTTTATCAATTCCTTTTATCGATCCCAGTATGTTTTTCTGACAGTCTGCATTGCATGGCTGCAATTCACAAAGAAACTCAAGCTATACCTGAACTCTAACCTAAACTGTGAACTCTTTTCTACACAGAAGATTTATCAGGAATCAATACAGTCAATACTGACAGATTGATATATATATATATACATGTATACAATAAATATCTGTATCATGACATAAAATCAATTGTTTTCCTATATAAACCCCTATGACCTGTCACATCCAGGCAGTCCCGGCCCATTTAAACCACAGGCGCCGGTTGCTCTAACATAAGTGGTCATTTCAGCAATGGAGTGCTTAAGAAAGTCATATTAAGAGATACCATATAAAGTAGGACAATGCGTTTGATAAAGTTAACAAGTTCCAGTTTGTAGTTCTCATCCTCTGGGCTGGCATACTACAATTCACATCAAGATGCACAACTTACACACTGTTTGTTGCGTATCTTCTTAACATAAAAAAGATATATAGTATTCAAGTACAAAGCTTATACTTGGAACAGGTAGACTGCATTCACATACCACAACACACCATCAACAGGTGACTGAACCACCAATAAATGCAGAATTAGAGAAATAATTCACAGCCCCTGCAACTGTGTCTATTTTAGCATTAATAACAGAACAGCTTTGCTAAACAAGGCTATGGTATTTAACATAACCTCATACACACATACATAAGTAGTTAAATACACACAGACAGCCAGAGTTAACCAAAAGCAGCAAGCAAATGGGACAGACAGATATAGAAGTAGGTAGAAAGCAGGTGGATTTATCAGACTCACATTATTTGATGCCCATCCTTTCAGTGGAGATGAGGTGGTGAATATCCATGTCTTATAGTCCCATTTCACTTGTTTGCTGTGATTGTTTGTTGACAGAAATCCTAATCTGCTCTCTCTCCATCCATCACTGCCAGCTAGCCAGTAGTAGAGTATTTTTAGTATAGAGTATGGTAACTTACTTTCCAACTTTTTACTCCAACTTTGTTTAACTGTTGCACACCTGCCGAGATTTACCGCCGGCCGCTAGGGGCGCTGTTTCACTCAGTCTAAACTTGGAAAGACAATTAAATAAGAATTGCTTGCTATGCGACAAAAGTAATTTATGCTTTAATCAGAATGACAGTGGTAGGTATTTTAGTGAGGAAGTCATGGTTTTATTTGGTTACTGAAAAAAAGGGGCTGCTGCATTTTTGGGGGTCAACAAGGGGGTCTTGTTGCCATAGCAGCCAATAAACCACCACACAAGTATTTTAGGTTAAGAGTTGTAAAATCACCCTTCAGGGCTCCCTAAATACTGAGTGCTATAACAAAAGTGGAGGGTTGTCTGTCACAAGCTTTATAATGTTTTCCTAGAGCAGCATGTGTGCTCATTCTGTCAGGTTGCCATTATGAACTATTATTGGGGGAGGGTGACGCCCCATCACTTAGAGCCGGGGTGTCACTTCCCACTCCTCTCCCGGGTCCTTGCGAGTAAAGAGTCTTTTTGGAGGAAGGAGCACAATGACGGGCAGCATCGAGGGACTTGAGAGGTTTGACAGTCCGGGGAAAGGGCGAGGTCTCCGTGTTACCAGACCCTTTAAAGTTGGAGAGCTGCTGTTTTCCAGCCAGCCATACTCTTATGTGCTGTCAGTAAAGGAGAGAGGCTACTACTGTGAGTTCTGCTTCACCAGGTAAATGACTGGTTATCTCTATCTAAGCGTTAGTCACACAGTTCATAAAGAGTCTCCTCTGAGCACCTTTGTCTGTATGTATCAGATGCTGTACAACCTTTGTGATGATACCTCACATTCTATGGCTGCGTATCCTGCAAGACCCCATTGCATATGATTGATTTCTTATTAGTTCTGAGTAAGTTTAAAATGCAAATCCCTTTAATTGCGGATTAATTGGTGATTAGTCTTAATATGCATTGATCACCATACAGTACCACATAGGTGACCTGGGAATCAGATGGATCTGCAGTCTCATGTCTTTGCTCTGCTGGTGATGCCAGACTACCAAAGGCTCTTTGTCATAAAAATGTCACTCCAAAATCTATTTTGGTTATGTGGCTCAGCTTTCTGAATGGTGGTTCATGCTTTCCCACATGTCCTCTCTGGCCCCTATATGGATGCTGAACATGAGAAATTTGTTACGTGAATAGCATCATAATTAGCCTACATAATGCAGTGTCTTTCAGCTCTTTAGTGGTGATTATTCAGGGGTTATATGTTACAAATAATATCTCTGATTATGTATTTTGCAT